CGGGGCGCGCCGCGCCGGGCCCCGGGGTAGCTGCCGCCTCCGTGGGGCCAGCGGCTCAGGCAGATAAGGCAGGCGTGGGCGAGGGAGGAGCAGAAGAGCTGGCGGCGCTTCGAGCCGCAGGAGCGTCTCCGTGCTCAGCCCATGCGGGCGGCGCGGAGGCGCCGTTCCCGGGGACGCGGCATCGCTCTTTGACTCCGGCCCTGCTCCTGCCGCTGCAAAGCCGGGAATTTGTGCGAGTCTGCGGTCGTGGTGCAGAGCGACAGCCGGGACTCCTGGGGGCCATAAAAGGGCTTGTGGATTAGCCAAGAGTTATCTGCCGAGCAGCCCCGTTAGCAGAAATGCTTTGTTCGTGAATCTGGGATTATCGGCGGGAGCCGCTGGGCGCGAGCAGCACTGCCGTGACTTCCCAAGTGCCAGCAGCAGCGGGGGGGATCTGCTGACCCAGGAGGAGACGCTGCTCCTGGCTGGGCGCTGGGCACCCCAACTGTCAGCACCTGGGATGCTGTTCCCTCCTGCCTTTCCGAGCAGCCCCGTGGGGTCCAGCCCAGGCACCGCAGCATTTCCCTTGTTCATCCCAAAGGGACACAGTTGTCCGAAAGAGCAGCTCGTGGGCGCATGCACCTGGCTGTGTAACTTTTATTTATCTTGACAGCTGGAGACATGGTTAAGCCTTCATTCCCAGCCGTCCTCGCCTCAGTAACGGGCCTGTTCCTGATGTCCGAGTGGGGCAGACAGTCCAGCATCCTGCAGCTTTCTGCCCATACAACAATAGGAGCTGCTGACAGCTCCTCTAAGCATCAAAAATGCAGTGAGCAGAGCAAGCAGCAGGGCAAGCGCTTTGCTTCGAGTTGCACAAGACTTTTGCTGAGCAAACCCAGTGGCTTTCACAGTGATCCCGCGGATGAAGGCTGCTTGTGCCTCTCAACTCCCTCCTCCTGCCAGCACCACCAGCCAGCTCCGCACTCTGCATCCATCAGGGCTATTGCTGTTTAGTTCTTATTTATGGAACTGTCTCCTGAACCATAAGAGAAACTGTGGGAGCAGATGGGACCCGGCCAGTATGTGCCTGGCTGCCCGAGTCACCCCTTGCTGTGGGCTCGTGACGGGGACGTGGGCAATAACCGTTTGCTGGAAGGTGCCTCTGCTGGCCTGTGTGTGCGGTCAGGGGAAGGGGGAGGGTTTGTAGGTGCTGAGTGAGAGCCCAGGGCTCTGAATTGGCCACTGCCAGATCAGTCTCTGCTTGATGCCAGGGTGCCGGATTTGTGCCCTGCAGGGCAGATGGCATAAATATGCCAAGACAAGCATGCAGCAGTGTGCAGCAGTGTGCAGTGACATGCAGCAGTACACAGTGACATGCAGCAGTGTGCAGCAGCGTGCAGCAGCATACAGCAATATGCAGCAGCGTGCGCATACAGTGATGTGCAGCAGTGTGCAGTAATAATGCAGCAGCATGCAGCAGCATGCAGTGATGTGCAGCAGTGTGCAGTCACATGCAGCAGCGTGCAACCCCGCATGCTCCGGCCCAGTGTGGGTCTGGCTGCGGCGCCTCCCGCCTTGGCAGCCCGCACGATGCTTGGCAGCGAGCGACGCTCCCGCCACCGCAGCACGGCCAGAGCAGCAGCCCCTTTGATGTCGCAGGGTTTTCCTTGACATGAAGCCTCCCGAGCGCCTTCCCCTTGTCACCCGGCCGCTCCGTTTACACCTGGCCCCGGCAGCTGCTGTTCTGCTTTCGGTCCCCCCAGCTCCGGAGTTTCCCTCCCTGAGCTCTCTGCAACAACCTTGCTCTGCGCTGCAGGCGCCGGTACAACCTGTGACTGCGCCGGGGCCGCCGCCAAGGTCCTGCTTTGAGCAAGGGCTATTTACAGTAAAAATAAACACACCATACAAAATGTAGCAAGGGTACAAGTGTCAGGCAAATAAGCTCTTTCCATTAGCTTCATGTCAAAGGGACGTGCTCCTCCTCCCCACGCACTTGCTCGCTTAGGAAAACAGCCTGGAGAACTAAGTTCAGAAAAGATTTTCCGGGGGTATTGTTTTCTTTCTTTTTTTTTTTTAATAACGTCACCAATCAATAGGTAGGTCACAAACCTTGGGAATGTTTCTTGGAAGGGCTCAGTGGGATCTAGCGCCTCATTTATTGCAGTAAATTACAGATTTTCTTGTTGGGGTTTTTATGAGGCATGTTTAGGCAAAACCTTGTTGGTAGCAGAGGATGTTTAAGTGCTTTCACGATGGTGTTGCAGCATCCAAACCAGGCACAGGGCTGCTGAAGTTATGGCTGTCAGGCCAGAGGGTGCAGGCAGAGGCTGTCTTGAGGCTGGAATTGCTTCTATTGCTGCTCGAATGGCCCCAGCAGCTTAGCTTAAATGCTAATACTAGTGCTTAGATGATCCGTAATTCCCACTTTTGGAGCTGCCTTGGCTTGAAGGAGGGGCGGACGTTGCAGCTCCCAGTCGGATGCTCCCAGGCTGGGTCTGCGCCGTGTCCCACCCCGCGGCAAGGGCAGGGGCAGGGGCTGCCAAAGCAATGTCCCAGGCCGGGCGCTCCGGGGGGCCCGCGTGTCCTGGGCCGCGGGACACCTGCTAAGTCATTAGAGCGCTGATCAGCTGCGAACACTGTTACTAAACTTGGCCCGGCAGCTGCCTACAACTTCAGCAGATGTTTCCAATTTTTAGCACAGTGGAAATTTCTTGAATCACTTCTAAACCCCATTCCTGGGGAGGAAGCCTCTAGTGACTCATCACTCAACAAAGCTGTTGGCTCTAGAGCAGACCTTAGCTGACAGAGGAGGCCGCTGCGCCGTCCAGCTCACTTGTCTTCCCGCTCGCGGGTGCCAGGGCAGTCATCCTGCGCACATCAAGGGTCCTAAACACTGAAACGGACAGATCCGACCCGCCCTTCCCGCCTTCCCTTCCTCTCACCCTGTTCCCACTGCCTGTGGTTGTCAGGGCAGGGAGCGCTCGGAGCGCAGGGTGAGTCACCGGAGGAGATGGACCGTGACCGGCGTTTCAACACCTAACCAAGAGAACAGCCTCTGCTCACATGAGGTCAGCCTGAACTCGGGGCTTGCTTGCTGGCCCCAGAGAGCTGCACGGATCGCTGAGATGTCCCTGCCACGAGCTGAGCTGTAGTCGCAGCAGGAGGGATGGAGATGTGTGTCTCATTTGGCATCCCCTTGCACAGTAGGGCAGTGGTGGGTGTAGAAGGAGCCTCTGTGCAAAGCTGGCTGGTAGCTCTGAAGAATTCTCCTCTGGACGGTCTCGTGCCTCCAGGATCCCACTCGTGCAGCAGAACTGGTCTGGGAAGACCAGCTCCAAGTTGGTACAACTGGGGCAAATCAAGAAGAGAATCTGTGATTGCGTTTAGGAAATTGTGTCGATTTTTGGAATAGAGTGTATGAGATGTCTGTCAAAGTGGGTTGTGGCTGAGGACAAGCAAGGAGAATGAAACAGGAGAGGGTGTCATGCTCTGCCATCAGCACAGACAGAGGTGTTACCTGCCAGGAAGGAACTGGGCTGATCTCACCTGTTCGAGCGCTCAGCTGTTCCCGTGGAAAAGTGGTAGGAACCAGCACGATCATTATGGAGGGCTGAAAGATACTGATGTTTCTTATTTGCCTTTTGCTCTCACACCTGTGGGCCTTCTAGCAGGTAAAATGTGGTTTGCTGACAAGCTCCTGCGGTTTGCAGGGGCTAAATGATGTCTTTCAGTGTGTGCCCGGGTGGGATGTGGTGGTGTGTGGGGAGCCAGCAGCTCCCTGTGGGGCAGAGCAGCCCCTCTGTGCTGTGCTCTGAGAGGGGATCTTTCCCTCTTCCTGCAGATGCTGCTTCACCCCAACAGCGGGGCCGCAGGGAAGGACGGAGAGATCGAGGCCCTGCGACTGGCTCAGTACAAGGTGTTCTACACAACAGGTACCGTGTCCATTTTGGAGATAGTGAAGTTTAGGAAAAAGCTTCTAAAGTTCTTGGTTCCCTGCTGATAAGTTCTTGGTTCCCTGCTGATAGGCTTAAAAGCCAAATCAGATTAATACAAGCAAGAACAAGTATTTCCTTTCCCAGCAAGGAGCAAGTAAATGCCCACACGTGTCTGCGTGATGTGCTTTGCAGCACGGGGTTGTTGACCTTGGACGTGTTCTTGGACTAGCAGAGGGGTCTGGGCTCCCAAAGTGGGGATGTTGTGGACTGAGAACACCTCTCTGGCAGCCTCTGTTCACCCTGAATTCTAATTGTTGGGCTTTTCTGGCCCCCAAAATTACATGCTTTTAAAAATAGGCCTGTGCTGAGGGGGTTGGGCTAGTTCAAAGAGGGGATGTTTAGCCTGAGGGTCACCATTTCATGGAACATCAAAGAGGGTTTTCTGCTGCAGGGCTGGCCATGTGGAAGGTCTGGGCTTGCTCTGCGCTTGGGAGCGTCGCTCTCCCGGCACAGACCGTGGGGCAGAGCAGGTGGCTCATCCTGTGCTTAGTTATTTGGTTCCACTGACCTGTGCTGCCTGGAGCCTCCAGTTCCTGGTGCTATCCGGAGTTCTCACCTCCATCTTGCTGCTGCCCTTGTATCTGCCCAGCTGCCCTTGGCCTGTTCCCAAGGCTCTTCAGTTCTCTGTGGTCTGTGTGCTTAGCCCCCAAGCTGCTCCGCAGTCCCCTCTATGGCTCCGCAGCCCCCCCAATGTGTTTTATAAGTGGGTCCTCCTGGAGACCCAGCTGCAGCCTGGGCTGGAGTCCCGAAGCTGCTGCTTAACCGCCCAGGTTAAAACTGCCCAGGGCAAATCCTTTACCAGGCACTGCAGCCACCCTGGGGCCTGTCCCTTACAGCATTTAAGCCATTTCTGCAGTGTTTCCTCCCCCGTGCCGGGCCCAGCAGTCACAGGTGGATAGAAATTCGTGATACAGTGATGACCAGCCTGGAACTCCAGTGTTTTTGTCTTGGTTGTCCCCCTAGGAGGAGCCCGGGCTTGCGATGGGAGCGTTGGGCCTGCAGAGCATCATGAGCCTCCGCTCATTTTCGACTTGAATCACGATATCCAGGAGCAGGAGCCTTTGGACGTGGCATCCAGGGAATACCAGGCGCTGTTACCTGCAGTCCGCAGGGCTTACGCGGAAGCTCTTTGGGATATTGCAACAGACAACATCTCGGTTGCAGATTATTCCCAGGATCCTGCGGCGATTCCCTGCTGCAGCACCCGGCACGTGGGCTGCCGCTGCCACCCAGGCCCCGCGGCCTGGTGGGACCAGGGCATGGAGGCAGCAACGCAGCTCTGTGATTACTCACCTCATGGCTTGCGCTGATCCCAGCTTGTGTCCATGGGCTGCTCTTCAGCCTGGCTCTGGGCTTGTGGTTGCCCATGCAGGACAGGGATGGAGGCTGTGGGGGTCCCTTTGCTCTGTGCTGTGGACCAGCAGTAGGTGAGTTGAGTGTCTGCATCGGCACGGGGTCAAGAGGGTCCCCTTTCCCACAGCTCATCATGGAGCAAGACTGTCCCCCCACAGGCCTGTGTTGCCGGAGGAGCCGGTCATGGCATTACCTGCTGCTTCTGGCCTTGTGGAAATTGAAGGGAGATGGGGTTTGTAAAGCTCTTCAGCAGAGGAGGAGACAGGTCTTGGGTGAAAACTACCTTCTCCAAGAGCTGGCTTGTGGAGCAAATTCCTCAGGGAAATTCTCTTGCCTTTCCGTGGTAGAAAATGAGCCTGATAGCAGAGGGCCTACGGGAGCATGAGGAAGGGAAGGAAGGGGCCGCCCACAGCCTCTGCACAAACATCCCTTGCTGGTGTTGAGACCCTGGAAGTCTGTTGTAGAGAGAATATTTCCTGCCTTTTCCGTGCCAGGACAAGGTGAGTGCTCTGGGAAATGAAGCACCTGCTTCTCCAGCTGTCAAGGGAGGCTTTTTTTTTTTTTCACCTAGGGTTGCCTTAAAGACTAGAGAGGGTCTTTGAGAGGGTCTCTGTCTGTGAGAGGGAGGTTTGGGCTCTCGTGCCAGCTGTCCTGTCCTTCCCTGGCCTCTTGCTGGGCATGACACTTGGCTTGGGCTAAGGCTGCTCTCCATGGACACTGTGAAGAGCAGGGATTGCTCCGAGCGGCAAACGCAGAACCAATGGTGCAGCTGTGTCTTCAGCATGGCCAGGATTTCTCAGCAGCCGAATGAGGGTTTTCTGAAACAGTTGGGACTCGCATTTAGGCAACCAGATCCTTTTCTTGGATCTGTCTGTAAGCAGCTTGTCCAAAGCAAGGTGTTAAACAAGCAACTGGCAACTGCGTGTTGTAACTCCAGGCAACTGCCGAGATTTCGGTATGTCCCCAAGCAGGTCTGGCCTGCAGCTTCTCAGCTGCCTCGCTAGTCCCCCGTGGCTGGGTCGCTGCAGTCCAGGTGAAGCCAAGAGCCCCTTCCTTTCTCCAGGCCAAAACCCATTGTCCCATCCACTAAAACTTAATCAAGACTGACATCTTTAGGGCCCCACAAAGAACAGCAGGAGCACGGGCAGCCGGGGACAGACTGGGACTTTATTCTCAGTCATTAAACACAGCACATTTCATCTTCTCTAATATCACTGCAAAAATACTTTGCCCGGATAAAATAGTATGTATATACTGTACAAAGACATAAGTTCAATATATCTTCCTATAAGTACATTTATACACATAAAACGGCATAAATTAGAAAAGGGAAAAACAAGTATATAAAATTCTGGTTACATACAAATCTGATTAAATTAGCATTTACACTGTGGTTCTACCATATAATTTGTTAAATATAGCGATGTGCATACAGTACATGAACAGCCCACCCCGACACCGATGCGAGCAAGGGACTAGCGGGGCCGGGTACTCACATAAACAGACTCTAGGAGAAAGCAGGGCCCACCTGGGATTTTTTCTCTCGTCTTTGGGACACACAAGTCTTCTCTTTGACATTCCTGGCTTTTTCGAGGGGTCTCCCAGCACCGTCCTGAGCACAGATGTTTGCTTCCCATCACGACCTCCTTGCCTTGCCCGGCTGAGCTCCACGGCACAGGATTATCTACCAAAATCAAAACAGAGCAGCCTTAACTTTATTTTTCCCCAGCAACAGGGTGTGTTTCAAGTCAGTCTTAAGCACATGGGAGCAGAAGCGGGGGGAATGTCCTGCCATGTTTTGCTTTCCATTTCAAGGGAGAGCTGGTTTGTTTATTTTCCCCCTCCCCAAATTTGTAGGCCTGAGAACAGGAGCCATCTGGCTGGGTGACAGACGTGTCCCGTATCCGGCCGGCACCGAGTGCATTCCTGAAGGCGGGACTTGCTCCCTCCTTAACAATCTCCCAGAATTTGAGCTCCTGGGGAGGCCGGTGGGACCCAGACTGTGTCTCTCTGGGCGAGGTAGGAGCCACACACCTGCGCTTGGGACTCAGCTGAGAGGAATCCTAAGGATCTGCCAAACTTTTTAGCAAAAGAATAAAGCAGAGACAAGAGGAAAGAGGCAGCAGCAGGGGCTTCCAAATGCTTCGTTGGCCACTCATGTTGGAACACAAGCCACGGGAATGGAGCAGGGGAAGGATTTGCAGCCAGTCCTGGCGGGGCCTGGGCAGAGCTGCGGGTTTGCTGCATTACCTGGGGGATCCCTGCTTGGACACTAACCCCAGCTCTGTGCTTTGGTCAGCTCCTGCCTTTCTCAAAGTGCCCTGTACGTTTCCCAGCCTTGCACACGTGTCCCTGCAGCCTCAGCTGCGGGAAGATCAGACTCTGCATGGACTTGGGACTTGCCCTATTCTGAGGATCACGGCACTGGCACCAAGTTGTATGATGCCAGCGGGACCTAGAGATAAGCTGGGCTCCATCCTGCCAGCCCCAGTCTGCCGGAGTTGGAGGGCAGGAGCAGATGGGGCAGCCTGGGCAGGACGCCGTGGCCATGGAGCTGGTGACACAGCCGGGCTGACGCTCCTGCCCGTCCTTCCAGGGAAAAAGCACAGGGAGTGACTGATCTTCGGGATGAGACCTGGTGCCTCCCAGGCTCCACGCAGGGTTCATTGCGCTTAACACAACAGCTATCCCAATAAAACCTTTGGATCAGCTCTGCTGCCAGGCCTTGGTCCTTGGGGCCTGCGGAAGGGTGCAGCCACACACAGGCAGGGATGGTGTAAGCCTGGAAACGCCCAGAGACATTGCTAAAGATGACACCTTCTCTACTGAATTCCAGAAGTTTTAAAAGACATGCTCATAAGTATTCTTCAGGTCAACAAGCATAGCAATTCGTTTTGCCTGAATCCTCTAGGAGTTCTTGGGTAAAACCTTGTAGCACTACCCCACAGCTTTTCCAAATGTGATTTTTGGGGGGTTGCGAGGGTGGCTCCTGAGAGGCCAAGCTCAGAGCATATTCCAGCAAGCCCCAAACTGCCCAAAACCTCTGCAGCTCTCATGAACTAGTGCAAGGGGAGCAACTGCTTGGACATATAATTAGAAAACAGCAGGAACTGATGCAGCATTTGCAGTCCTAACTGCAGGTTCAACTAGAAGCGACTGTCAAATAAACAGAGCTGGGTTTGTTCTTGCCCTGCTGAAGGGGTTTGATCACTGCCAGGGTGATCAGTGCAGCTCCTCTGTGCAAGTCTCAAGCCTTTTCTCCAGTTATGTTTTAGCCTGCTGTCCATCTCGGTCACATCCGAGTACTTTCCATATAAGATCAGCAATTCCAGCCTCCCTAGTGGACCGAAAGCTTTTCATCCAGCCCTATCAATGCAAACAAGATACGTAATTGAACTCAGTTAACCTCTTGCTACAGGATTCCTCAGCAGTACTGGCCTAGCCAGTAACAACATCCACATTAATCCTTGTTGAGGTCAGTTTGCAAAATCACCTACGTCCTCCCCAGGTATCTTGTCTCTTCTCTGACCTGTCCCTCCTAGTTAATGAAGAGGCAGTTTCCTGCAATCAGCAACAGATTTGGTGTTAGACTGAAGCTCTATTTCCTTGCTATGAACCACTGGGCCTCTGCAGTCCTCACCAGCACTTGAGGTCAGGGGAAGGCAAAATGCTGGAAAGCGGAGAGGCGCTGGGGGCTGCGAGCGCTGCTCCCTCCCCAGAAAAATGTCTGAGTTCAAAGCCCTTCTCGTGGCCTGAGCTGTGGGTGAATATTCCATTTTGTCACAAGTTTTGAGGTTTTTAAACGTCTTTTTGTTGCACACTAAAAGACAAACAAAACTCTTCCCACGTTTCCACAAAAGAGAATGCTGTCAAAACATTTTTGTTGGATAAGGTCAAGTTTTCTCTCCCTCCTTCGCACAGAAGTGACCGATCCCTGAAACCCCTTCTGAACGAGTCATTGAGACCGAACATTTCAGCACTGAGAAAACAACAGAGCTCAGTGAAAATTTAGATCATCAAAACATCCTGACCAGCTCTCCTTACGAATTAACACAGCAGGAGCCAGTGCTGCAAGGGGAGCAGATGCAAAACACATTACCCTGAGCAGCAGAGGGGGAAAGCAGAGGTCCTAGCTGCACGCACAGCAGCTGGAAGCTCCCAGTGCTAAGCCACTGTGTGGAACAGTATTTTTGGAAAGCTCCGTCCTCCCACGCCACCTCCTCCCTGCATTACACGCGTAAGTTGCTCTGTCACAGGACTGTGACAGATTCAAGTGCATTTAATAAAGCACCTGCTGCTGCTGCTGCAGGGATGGGGCTGTGCCGTCCCCATGGGCGGCCTGTCAAGGAGCCCCACAGCTCCTGGCCCCAGGCCGCCTTGTCCCCAAGCCACACGTGCACACGGAGGCGCGAAGGAAGCTGTGGAGGATTCCAGGAGCATTCCCCCCAGCTCCTGGGCCAGCAGCTCTGGCATTTTAAATACCCTTTCTAGGAAATGGAATAGGACAAACAGAAAACTTTTGTTCGGAGTTTGCACTAGGTTATGTTACAGGTAACAAAAGAACTGATCCAAAGCTTATGTGACTTGAAAAGCTGCATTTAGGTAGTGTTTAAAATGGAGTCACCAGCTAGTCACCTCTGTCATAACACTTTGCATTGGCTTAAAGTGCCTTACAAAGGAGCCTCAACATATGGAACCAATCCTGGGTCCCCAGTAAAGTTTTTACTTCCTCCTCCTTCAGGCAAAATTCCAACAGCAGGATGTGTAAAAACAGAGTAAGGGATTCAAAAGTCTGCTGAGTTCACAACTTGAAACCCATTACAATACGCCGCTGTATTAGTGCATTACTATTATGAAGGCAGTACTGATTACAACCAGCTCTTATCATGGTAACCAAGCTCTGTGAATTTAAAGGTTAAATATTTAGCATAATAAATGCTTGTATAACAGGAAGAGGAACAGGAAAGACAATGCTAGGCTTAAGTTTGACTTTTAAAAGCCAGTATGTCCTTCCAGTGACAACTGAGAAGATGCCATTTAAAAATCAAAATATTTTAGAGCTCTCTCAGGCTTTTCTTCTTTGTATTGGGAAAAGGAGATTCCTTTTTAGTTAGCTTGGAAATAAGGAGACCGGTGATACTCAGTTATGTCCCGGTTGCTTTCCCATTCACTAACACAGTTGACTGAAAATGCTGCAGGGAGTAGTGAGTATTTATTTCTAAATGATGGTGGTGTTCAAACTGAAGCTATTCCTGTTAATAGTCAAGATATGCACAAGGCACAAAGGTAAGATCTGGACATCATTCTGCACCGGCACTTCACTCAGCTAGTTTGTTCAGATCCATTTCTAGTTATTAAATTTGATCATCTTTCCCCAGCCCTAGCTGCCATTGAGTGGGGGTGGAATCTCCCTGGCACTGTCCCTGTAGCTTAATTAGTTATTTTAAGCTTCACAGTGAACTGGGACAAGGTGGGGGCAACAAGATCGCTTCTGTAAGAGGTTAATACTTTCTTCTTAGCATGAGGGTTGTATTGCTGTTTTAGGGATCCTGAATGCTCACAGGAGGAAATTCATTTTCGTCATCAAGACACACTGGTCCGGTTGCAAACTCGTGCTCTGGGATAACCTCTCCTCGCAGTGCACCACCGTCCTCCGAGTAACCTGCCAAAGTAAAAATAACTGTAAGATAAGGGACTGTAACCTGAGAATTGCCCAGTCTTTTCCTGCAACAATTCAGTGCTAGCTTCATTACTGAAAGGTTTAACAAGTGTAAGAAAATCTGTACAGATCTAGGCAAAAAAAAAAATCAGGAGATTTGACTTCTACAACCATGGGTTTACCTCTTAGACACCTCTAGCAGCAGCTGCTGTCTGACAAAGTGTAAAGCAAGACTGGATGTGTTCACTGGTCACAGTACCACAAGTGAGTCCTGGGAAGCGGAACAAAACTCCTGACCTATTCTCAGCGGCAGAGCGTGACCCATAAGCTCAAGAGATTCCTGCCACCACAGCCTGCATTGCCCAAGTAACATTTGTGGCTACCAGAAGCCTCTGGACGTTCAAGGATTTCCCATCCTGCTCCATGAGGCTTTTGTGCATCTACCTGAGGAGGAGTCGCTCCGGTGCTCACCTGGCATAGTCGACGTTGAAGGCACTGTGCTCTGTCTGGCTACGGTTGCTGCATAAGACTGAGGTAACGGAGGCTGGAGGTCATTTTCTTTGTTCTCCTCCATCTTTCCTGAGCCAAGCAGACTAGTTGTATAGGAACAAGAGAGAGGAAAAGCATTAGCTCTGGTCCTGGCCACTTTTCCACCGGCACTGGGTAAGACCCACACACACACACATGCATCCATGTCACCTTGAAACACATCACCCATCTGTGACACTGCGCCCGGGCAGGGCTGCAGGGGAGGAGCTCACTGTTCTCGACAAGTAAAGCAGGAGAGGGAAGGAAAAGATAGGGGAAGTGCTACTACAGCTGCAGGACAATGCTGGCATGGGAATAGAAAGGGAAGACTGGCCACAAAAGCTTTAGATCACAAAGGAAAATAGTGTTTCTAACCACAGAGGGGGCTGCAAAGGGCTTGCAACGGGAGCGGAATAGGTGGTAAAGCAGCACAGGCTGGTTCTGGACGGAGGCTGAGCAGAGATGCTATGATGTAATGTAGCTCATGACCCAAGAGGCCCTTTCTTATGCAAAAAGAGGAACCCACAGCGGAAGAGGCCCTGCCAGTTCACAGGAGGACCACGCGGGCGTCAGCGGGGCCTGAAGGAGCCGGGCAGGCCGGAGCACGCTGGACAGCTCAGCTCTGCAGTGCCTGTGTTTTGTGGCTGTTAAAGAACTGTTGCCATTTTCCTGGCTGGCAGCCAAAGTGTCACATCTGGAGCCAGACAGCCCAGATGTGCGTCACGGACCTGTCGGAATTTGCACACGAGCTGAAGAGCAGCACAGAGCGCCCCCCTGGCTGCTGCACGCGTGTACACGCGTGTGCTCGTGTTCACGAAGCGCCCAGTCCTGCCCCACGTCCTCACACTCCCGAAACCACCTCTGCAGCAGCCAGCAAGGCCTGGAGGCTGCGCTCTGCTCTCCTGCCCCTCTGTGGCTGTTGTAGGAGACATCTCCCAAGACCCAGCGTGCCCACCTCTGCCAGCTAGGTTGAAATGTCCTAGAGCTGTCTAGGGATTTGAAATGTCTGTTTTTTTCTTCTGCATTCTTGTTCCTACAGCTCCCTTTTTGTACTTTCAGGCAAAACTTCTTGTGTTTTTTAGAGATCAGCTTCTGTATCAAATGTGCCTGCAGCACCCGTGCACTCAAGGTGTAGTTACCTGTGTTTCTTAATTAAGACACACTCCCCTCCGTCTTGTGGGTCCAGGTTGTAGATATAGAGGTGTCCATCCGACGTCGTCACTAACAATCGAGGCAGCTTCTGGATCCTAATGAGAAAATCATGAGCCCGAATACACAAATTTGCCATCAGAGCCAAGTGTTTGCAGCAAGGAGAAACAGCTAAACCCCTGCCCCCCCTGCTCTGTGCTGCTGCTTGCCAGGGAGGGACTTCCAGCCACATGCAGAGCTGCTTCCAGAAGAACCTACCTGGCCTAAGAGCACCCACACAGGCGGCTGCACCCATCCATAGGCCTAAGTTATTGCTGGTGGTTAAGAAAGGGCAGTGCAGCCTGACCTCCACCTCCATCCTGGATGCACTCCTGTGTGGGAGCCCATGAAGGGCAGCCCGGACACAGGGGGCACCCACATACACACTCATGTGCTGCACTGCGGTGCAGGGCCATGGACAACAGTTGTGCTCTGTGCAGATGGCCACCCGCCGGGATGGCAGAGGGAGCACAGATGTTCCTACGTACGTGGAAAGGGCACAGATGTTCCTTTGTCCAGAGATGTTTAAGCGGACAGTAGCAAAGGCTCGATCCTGGTTCATCATTCCTGATACTTGAGCCGGGAGGTAGTTGGTGGCAGCCTGGAACATCTTTCCCATGTAACCACTCCAGGTTGGAGGCTCTTCTGGTCGGCTGAGGGGAGGGTCACAAAGCAACAACAGTGAGGCTACTGCGCATAGCCAGAAAACCTGGAATGTTCCTGATCTCAAGGCCTTCTTTGGAAGTGAGCACAACTGCTCCCCTGTGCATCCCTGCATGAGTCCTTCGCTTTCTGTCAAGAAGGACTGATTTGTTGGCAAGGAGGAAAAACAATGCAATGCTGATCCTTGCTGTGCACTTACTCTTCAGGGCTCCCACTGCAGTGTTAGAAGCCTGGCTATAGCCTCTGTATGCCTTGCTTTAATGTGGGCTACAGAAATAGTCTTAAAGAGCACAAGGAAGCCTACAAGGAGAGGATGGATGCAGCAGACTCGGGGGAGAGTCAGGGTAACAGCATCTCCTTTCATGCCATCCCCCAGCACGGGGATGGACTCACAGAGGCAGGCGCAGCCCTGCAGCCAGCAGGTTAACCTCGAGCCCCCTCACCTGTCCGTGAGATGTTCCAGTTTGAAGATGTGCACGGTCTCTGTGTTACTGGAAGCACACAGGAACTGGGAATCCATGCTGAATACCAGGGAACTGATGTTCACATATCTGGCGCCAAGGAGAGACGAGACTGGTCACATCACGGCATGCCACTAAATGGAAGCCACTGGGTTTTGCTCATGGACAAGCAGATAGAGAGGAAGAAGAGTCCGTAGGCTACAGTAAGGACTGGGCCTGACTACCATTTCCCTAATCCCTCCTTCAGCAGGGCTGACACAGTGGCGAAAGCCAGGGAGGTGGCAACATCCTTGCTCACACAGCTGTTTGCAGAGAAAACACCTGTGCCTCCCCTTGTGGAGCAGCTAAAGCCTCTGGTACTGCAAAGGCCAGGGAGGATGTGCAAAGCCCTGGGCAGTGCAGCCCCGTGTGACATCTCTTCCCGTGCAGGCTCCCCAGGACCACGGGGCCTCCCTTACAGCGGTCACTGCACTGGCAGAAGCAGGTATAGAAGGAATGAGAGGCAGGTCAGGGATGCGGGATAGGGAAAATGCTGGAAACAACCTACTGAAAACACTCAAGGGAGCCTGCTGAAACAGAGCAACAGGCCATCCCTGCCTTCAGGCTTGGGGTCTGCCCCAAAGACTTGGTAGCTGCAAACCACCCCTCTGGGAAGGCCAGGGACAGGATGATGACTGGGGACTTCCTTGAAGCAGGAAACAAAGAACACAGCAAATGGACTGAATCTACCTCTGTTCTCTGTGGCTGCCCTGTTCTGCGACATACTGAATTGAGCACTAACCTCGCCTGAGGCAGCTAGGAGCAGCGTGGCTGCCTGGCACAATGACATTTCTATTGGATATGCTCACGCTTGTTTTCTTTCTGCAAAAGATGCCAAAGCCACCAGGATCTGACGTTGCCCTCTCCCTCTGTTTACACTTCTGCTGCTAGAGCTCTCTGTACACTTGTCACTGATAAAGGAATGAACTGACCTTTTCATCCCTCGCCGGAATTCGCAGAGCTTTTGCCCACCAGGAATGGAAAATACACGAATGACTGTGCCCTGCAAAAAACACAAGTGGAAATATCACATGGGAACAAGGCAAAGAGCAAGAGCCCCTTTTTCTCACACACCACAGAGTCAGAACATGCAAAGATTGCACCTGTTTGTCAGCCCTGGAACCTGGGGTAAACCTGGGCGCAAGAAACTGGCCTTTTACAAGCCAGAGTCCTTCCGTTTGCCCCCTCCCAACATTAGGACAAGCGCTGCCCAGCGCGCCCATTCTCCATGCCCCAGAGCTAGCAGCAGCTCCTTGCTCCCCGCAGCCCTCACTCACCTTTTCAGAGGCACTTGCCAGCTTCGAGCCCGTGGAGTTGAAGGTTAGAGCAGCCAGAGGCCCGTCGTGGGCCGGGATGGTGCAGGCAGTTTTCTGCAGGATGGAGGTAGCGTGAGTGGAAGAGACAAGCTGCTCCTCCGATGCACGAGGGGAGGGAGTTCCCTGCCTCGAACCCACCTAGGGTGTCTGCCATGGGATCGTAACGCAGCTTTGATGTCCCCATAGCATTTCTGAGCTCTGCCTCATGCTGCACCTTCGACCTGCCAGGCACTGTGATTAAGCAAAGCTCAGTACAGCTCCTCACCGCTGCAGCTAAGCAGCAGAAAAGCAGCTGCAGCATATGTAAAGCCCATCGTTTTTTTGTGTGCGTGACCTCCACGCAGCCTGCTCTGCACACCCCGTTACCTGCAGGGAGCCCAGGCCCTTGCTAGCACCTCTCAGAGCAGCTGCATGCAGAGGGTTCCCCCATGCTCTGCTCCTCCCCATGCGCATCCCTGGCCTCCACTAGCTCCTGCTGCATGGAGCTAGCATTACGTAACCCAGAGCCCTGGCATAAACAGCAAGATCAACAGGACCTGCTGCTGGCCTAGGACAGGCTTCCCGGGGGCTGTAGATGCCTCACGCTGCCCAAGGGCTCCGGTCCCCCATGGCTCCCAGCCTG